ATGAGGTTGTGGGCTGTACCCAGGCGTTGCTGTTGCCCATACCCACTCCTCCCATATTTTGGACCCACCTTCTCTTTTAGTGTGGTCTTTGCTGTGGAGTAGCCAGGGATGTACTTGTGAGCTCCAAGAGGAAAGGGCCAAAGGAAAATCCACTAACCCTAACCCTCTGCCTTCTTCGACCTTCTTCCCTGATCTCAATGGAAGAGTTACCAAAGAATGAAGGAAGACTCAGAGTCCCCAGCGTGGATGCAAAGCAACTTTATTGAGTCTAAAGAAGCAAAGGGGGTGGCTCACAGAGGGCACCAGCAACAGCCACTAAGATGAAAGCGGGTTGTCCCTCTGTCTGGGCTGCAGAGGCAGGGAGGTCAAAAGGTCCCCAGGAGGGTGGCATTGGGTGGTGGTGACAGGAAAGGAAGGGAAGAGAGAGAAGAGAGGAGAAGAAGGAAACAAGAGCCATAAAGTCTAAATGCAATGTCCCAGCATTGTGTTTTCAGTGCAGCAGCATGATGAGAGGTCTTGCAGGTTGTTGACCAAGGAGGTTTGCAGGGGCTTTAGCAGGGGGGACATCTGCCACGGTAGCAGCTGGTGATGCAGGAGAGGTCAAAGCCCCCGGAGTTGATGGGCACTCCGTCAGAGCTGAGGATGCTGCCAACGGCAGCGGAGGTGGAGGATCCCACCACGGTGTTCTGTGGGAAGGAGCTGAGGATGGGCCCGGGCAGGGTCACCAGCACAGCCGGCGGCTCAATGACGACGGTGGAGCTCTGGCACTGCCTGACACAGCACTCATTGCAGCTGTTGGCCAGCGGGGTCGGGCCGCAGGGCTGGCAGCAAGGGTTGCAGGGCTGGCACTGCTGGCACTTCTCAGGGCACGACATGGCTGGAGCCTGGGGCTGCACCTGGCACACAGGGCAGGGAGGAAGCAGAGCACACGCACACCTCAGCAACAGCCGGCAAAGCACCACCAGGAAGCCAAGGCAGCTGCTGCTGCTTGGGGAGGGAGAGGCTCTGCAGGGGCCAACCAGGGAGCCTTTCCCTGAGCCCAGCAGGGCCTTCAGAGATCAGACAGGCCCAGGCTGCTCCTGCCTCAGCTGTAGGAAAACAGCCCCCTCAGCCCAGCCTCCGCCTCTGTCCCTAACAGACGCTCTCCCCTCTGCCCACACGACCACCATCCCCGAGCACTCCCACAAGACCAAGGAGCAGGGATGGGCTGCAAAGCTCGACCCTGTGCTAGAGAGGGGGGAGGAGAAAGGGGCTTCCCACTCACCGGCTTGCTGAGGAGAAGGAGGTGACAGAAGGGGTTGAGAGAGCCACCAGTTGGGCTGGCTTTTATACTGGCCCCACAGTGCCTCAGGGCCCAAAGGCCGTGCTGCATAAGTGACAATTTTCCTGCATGATCCCAAGGAACGGAAACATCCCAGGGAATGAATGGTATGGCATGAGGTGGTCATTCCCACTACTCTGACTTTGCATTTCCAGACTTACATCATCACCGTTCCCTCATGGCCATTTTTGATTTGCAGGATTTCTGGGGGAGAGAATGAGCCACTGTGGGCAGAAGTCATGGAGTAAGTGCCAAAGGCATCCAGAGATGACAGGTGATTCCAGCCTGGGGCAGTCTCATGGGTTTTTTTGATTCCAGATGATAGGAAGGGCTAAATGTGCTCCCAGTCCTCCAGTCTTTGGCTCATTACCCAAGGATGCACCAGTGTGGACAGAAGACATGTATTTAGTGCGTAATCGATCCAGTGCAGGCAGGTGGTTCCAGGGGTTTTTGTTTTAGGGGCCACCAAACCTGGGCTGCTGTTGGACTTTGAACCCTGGTGTTCACTCCAGCCACTGGGAATCTTTGGGACTGGTGGCTACAGTCTAGTGAGGGGCAGCCCAGTTTCAGAGCTTGATCTTTGCTATGGATGAGTAGGAGATTTGGGGATTGGAGCAGTAGGAACCTGGACATGAGGATCTTGTTTGATCCTTAAAGTCCCTGGCAATGGAAAGAGGGACCAGCACGTTCAAGGAAGCAACTGGGAGACAACATGTTCATTGCTGGCACTGAGTGCAGTGGGATTTGGCATCCTTGGCCAAGTGGTCTGACCTTACAGTGAGCACATCTCATTGTTGGTCAGAGCACCTGCCCTCCTGTGGGAACTGGAGAGCTGTACCTGGTCACTTTTTCATGTGGAGAGTCAATTGCTCTCTGCATGGGATGGGGAAGTAAGGCCATTCCCACCACCTTCCTTTGTTTCTCTGGAGAGGGATCCGAGTGATTTGTCTAAAGATGCGTCTTTTGAACTGTCTGTGATGGTCACCCAGCATTTTCTCAGGAATTCATCAAACCCAGAAGGGACAGATTTCCATCCATTTCCATGTCAGGCTACAGAGAGATCCTCAGCTCACTGGGTGTCCCAGTATAGCTCAGTTCCCTTGGGCACAGACAAAGGCAGCTCTCACCTGGCATTCTCTCCTCTTCCCAATCACATGTGATGAAATGTCTGCATTAGAGAGGGAAGTGGATTTATTTAGCCTGGAGAAAAGCAGCCTCAGGGGAGACTTTAGCACTCTACCAATACAGAGAAGGAGGTCATAACAAGATGAGAGCCATTATCTTCTCCCATGTCATAGGAAATGGCCTCAAGCTGAGTCAGCGGAGATTTAGTTTGGATTTTAGGAAAAAAATTTTGTGCAGAAATATTTATCAAGTGCTGGAACAGGCTCTGCAGAGATGTGGATATTGGATGGGAAACACCATCCCTGGAGGGATTTAAAAGATGTGTAAATGTGGCACATGGGTACATCAGTAACTGGTGGTGTGGACAGTGATAGGTTTGTGGTTAGACTCGTTGATGTTAAAGGTCTTTTCCAACACATGTGAAGCCATGACTCTACAGCGGACAGGAGCCTTGGGCTTTTGAATTGGACAATTAGGAAAGAGGCAATGAAGAAGCCAGTGCACGTGGAAATGACCACCCCAGCAATGACTTGTAACAGGAATCGGCCACTTCATGGCAGTGGTCAACGTCAGCAAAGCAGAACTGGTGATCAGGTGTCTCGCAGGTTCTCTTTGCTCTGGTCTACCAGCTATACCTGAGTCTAGGTGTGGTCAGACCTACCTCCACGGGAGATGAATTCAGTGAGTTGGCAACAGGGACTGGTTTGTCCCTCTGACAGCAACAAAAATCACAGACCAACCCCACCAGAGCTCTGTTCCTGCATTCTTGTCTGGGCAGTTGATTCCTTCTTATCTTGCTTTGGGTCACAGCAAAGGAGAACAAGGCACCTGTAACTGATTTCATTCCCCTGCTGGCCCCAGACCTCCCAAGGTGGGCACATGTCCCCATGAGCCAATATCTTCTGCATGTACCTTGTAACCCTGATGGGGAATGGCCTCCTCATTGCTGCATGGAGCAATCAACACTTTCCTGGATGTGTCCTTCCTCATGGATTTTGTTTATGGAGATCAAGTCTACTACCACTTTTGTGTGTAGGTGATGAGGTACAACCTTATCTCTCTGGAGAGCAGGAGGTTTGGGCCAACCTCAAACAGTTTTCGAGTCTTTACAGTGTTGCTGCAAAGAGGCTCTTTCATCACAAGGAGCCGTATGGAGCAGAGCCACAGGGGCCAATAAATAAAAGTTGCACCAGGAGAGATTTCATGTGTACACAGGAGATACATTTTAACAGTAATAAAAATGATTTCCTGGAAAAATCTCCGCAGGGAGAGGTCCCATCACTGGAAGATTTCAAGGAGTAATTGCGAAGGGTGGTTGATAATCTCATCTAAGCTCCCTTTCCCATACAAGATTGGACCTGATGATCTTTCAATGTCATGGTAGGTTGATCTTGGCAAATGGTCTGGTGCCCATAAAGACATTCTGACTGCCTCTCCTCAACTGGGCGATGGGAGAAAATACTTCACAAAGGTGAGGGGTCACAGGAAAGGCTGGGGAAATACTCAGTAATTCTTGTACCAGGAAGAACAGACTTGTCTTGGGGAAATACATTTAATTTATTGCCACGTACACATAGACAAGGAAAAAGAGAAATAATAACAAATCTCTCCCCACCTTTGCCCCAGCCTTCCTTCTTCCTGGTTTCAACTTCACTGCCAGCTTCTCTACCTTCTTCCCCACCAGTGGCAGAGGAGGAGAGGGAAAGGGTTGAGCCCATTCTGGAAGTCTCTGCACTCCTTCCTGCCACTCTGTTCCCCTGCTCCACTGTGGGTCCCCTGCTACAGGGTGGGTCATTTCCAAAGGGTGCAGTTCTTCAGGAACAAAATGCTCCAAAGTTACTCCTTGACAGGGTAACAGGTCCTGGCAGTAGGACCTGCTCCATTGTGGGCTTTTCTCCACTGCAGTGGATATTCCTGCCAGGATTCTTTTCTAGTGCAGGCTTTTCACAGTACCACAGCTTTCTTCATGGTACATCCACCTACAAAGGGCTCCATAAAATAGTTGATCCCAATCCTGACACGTGAAGTCCCCAAGCCCTGCCTGTCTGGACACGAGCTGGGCAGAACAGTCAATGTAAGGGAGGTGTAGGAAGGGATGAGGTTGTGGGCTGTGTCCAGGCATTGCTGTTTCCCATTTCCACTCCTAACACTTCTTGGAGCCATCTTCTGCCTGATGGTCTTTGCTGTGGAGTCCCAAGGAATGTGTTTGTGAGCTCCAAGGGAAAGGGCACAAAGGAAAATCAACTGCAGTGAGTCCCATCCTCTCTTCCTCCACTCTTTAACCCTGAGCTCAGTGGAAGAGTTGCCAGACAATAGAAGACTTAGAGGCCACGGTTTGGATGCAAAAAACCTTTATTGAGTCTAAAGAAGCAAAGGAGGTGGCTCACAGAGGGCACCAGCAGCAGCCCCGAAGATGCAGGGGGGGTGTCCCTCTGCCTGGGCTGCAGAGGCAGGGAGGCCAAAAGGTCCCCAGGAGGGTGGCATTGGGTGCTGGTGACAGGAAAGGAAGGGAAGAGAGAGAAGAGAGGAGAAGAAGGAAACAAGAGCCATAAAGTCTAAATGCAATGTCCCAGCGTTGTGTTTTCAGTGCAGCAGCATGATGAGAGGTCTTGCAGGTTGTTGGCCAAGGAGGTTTGCAGGGGCTTTAGCAGGGGGGACATCTGCCACGGTAGCAGCTGGTGATGCAGGAGAGGTCAAAGCCCCCGGAGTTGATGGGCACTCCGTCAGAGCTGAGGATGCTGCCAACGGCAGCGGAGGTGGAGGATCCCACCACGGTGTTCTGTGGGAAGGAGCTGAGGATGGGCCCGGGCAGGGTCACCAGCACAGCCGGCGGCTCAATGACGACGGTGGAGCTCTGGCACTGCCTGACACAGCACTCATTGCAGCTGTTGGCCAGCGGGGTCGGGCCGCAGGGCTGGCAGCAAGGGTTGCAGGGCTGGCACTGCTGGCACTTCTCAGGGCACGACATGGCTGGAGCCTGGGGCTGCACCTGGCACACAGGGCAGGGAGGAAGCAGAGCACACGCACACCTCAGCAACAGCCGGCAAAGCACCACCAGGAAGCCAAGGCAGCTGCTGCTGCTTGGGGAGGGAGAGGCTCTGCAGGGGCCAACCAGGGAGCCTTTCCCTGAGCCCAGCAGGGCCTTCAGAGATCAGACAGGCCCAGGCTGCTCCTGCCTCAGCTGTAGGAAAACAGCCCCCTCAGCCCAGCCTCCGCCTCTGTCCCTAACAGACGCTCTCCCCTCTGCCCACACGACCACCATCCCCGAGCACTCCCACAAGACCAAGGAGCAGGGATGGGCTGCAAAGCTCGACCCTGTGCTAGAGAGGGGGGAGGAGAAAGGGGCTTCCCACTCACCGGCTTGCTGAGGAGAAGGAGGTGACAGAAGGGGTTGAGAGAGCCACCAGTTGGGCTGGCTTTTATACTGGCCCCACAGTGCCTCAGGGCCCAAAGGCCGTGCTGCATAAGTGACAATTTTCCTGCATGATCCCAAGGAACGGAAACATCCCAGGGAATGAATGGTATGGCATGAGGTGGTCATTCCCACTACCCTGACTTTGCATTTCCTGGCCTACATCATCACCGTTCCCTCATGGACACTTCTGAGTGCAGGTCTGAGAGGTTTCAGGATTTCTGGGGGCAAGGATGCGTCAGTATGGGCAGAAGTGATGACCTGAGTGCACAGGGGATACAGAAGAGGCAGGTGATTCCAGCCTGGGGCACTCTGGTCCTGCTGACAGGAAAATTCCCAGCTACTCAAATGCCTCCAGGCTTTGGCTCATCACCCAAGGACTCCCCTGAGCTGTGCCAGAGTTCACCTCTGATCCCAGCCATGGCTTCTCCATGAGACAGGAGCAGGGACCCTGGGAAACAGCTCCGTGCCCCAAGGCTGCCTGCAGGTAGCATGAGGAGTGATGGCCTGGGGTCAGGATTCTCCTTGGTGAGACCTGAGTGCTGTGACCCTCTCCAGTTGTCACCAAAAACCAGTAAATAAGCTCATGAACCAGTCTGTTAGGTTAGAGTCGACACCCTGCTGGGTGAGTCTGAAAAGCTCCACACAACATGCACACCCAGCAACCAAATAGACCAGGTTATATTCATAAAGCTAGCACGTATTCATCAAATTTTTATTACATATTCATTACAGTTCCTAAATCTATGCATTTACATTAAATATATTTGTGGACATTTATGGATATTTGTAGGGGTCTTTTGAGAGTTTTTGGTCATCTCTTGGGAATGTCCCATTCCCCATGTTTTCCTTTTATGGTTCCAGTGAGTTCTCTCTCCTTGAGAGTATCTCAAAGACATGGTCAGGTCATAACGAACTTCTCTTATCAATCTTTGTTCTGACACACAATCCTTGTTCTCAAAACTAAGGCATCTGAGAGTCCATATCAATCACTGATATAGGGAAATAAGGAAGGGATTGCTGGCACAAGACTGTAAGTCACAGATGGAGGGAGTTAACACAAAGCCACATCAAACTCAGGCATTTGTACTAAGCACTGTGTGGTACAAAGCTAAGTATTAACCATGAATATAGGGATCAAACACTACTGTGCTAAACTTAAAAGATATTTTTCACATCTTCACCAAAGGCTGCATAGACTCTTTTTAAAGAAATATCACTTTTTCAGTAACGAGCTCTCCTCAGAAAAGGGGGAGCTGGGACTGTGTCAGTGCCCGGCACTGTTGAGCAGGGATGTCACTACAGGCCTTGGAATGGTTGGGCTCAGCCATGAGCTCAGACACAGCTGAGGACACCCCCACAGGCACTGACACATTCCCAACCTGCCCAGGGAGCACAAGGACAAACCCAGATGCACAGACACAGCAAACATGCCCAAGGACTCACACAGCAGGTTGCACACAAGTGCTCTCCCCTGTGCACAGAGAGACACTGCAGGCCAGAGGCTGCCAGGGGTGTGTTCCCAGGGGAGCACAAGCACAGGGATGTGCAGACACTCACACGCTCCAGGGCACAGTCACACTCCCCCACCCATTACTGGGGATCAGCACAGGGGGCAGAGGGGATGGGAAGGGATGGGAGTGAGGAGCTGCCCGGGAGCTCCCTGCCAGAGCAGGGAGGGGGCCTCTGAGCAGCACAGATGCTCAGGCAGCAGTGCCAGAGGAGCCTCAGGGACTGTCCAGGCACAGGAGGAAGCCAAAGTGTTTTGACCAGCGGGGCAAGACCCACATTCAGGGGAGGACTTTGGGAGAAGAGCCAAGGAATAGAGGGCTGGGAGCAGCTGGGACCCTTCCTGCCAGCAGGAATTACAGAAGTCAGGAAGCATTACAGAAATCCACCAGAGTGCCCCAGGCTGGCATCACCTGCCTCTTCTGTATCCCTTGTACACTCAGGTCATCACTTCTGCCCATACTGATGCATCCTTGCCCCCAGAAATCCTGGAACCTCTCAGACCTGCACTCAGAAGTGTCCATGAGGGAACAGTGATGATGTAGGCCAGGAAATGCAAAGTCAGGGTAGTGGGAATGACCACCTCATGCCATACCATTCATTCCCTGGGATGTTTCCGTTCCTTGGGATCATGCAGGAAAATTGTCACTTATGCAGCACGGCCTTTGGGCCCTGAGGCACTGTGGGGCCAGTATAAAAGCCAGCCCAACTGGTGGCTCTCTCAACCCCTTCTGTCACCTCCTTCTCCTCAGCAAGCTGGTGAGTGGGAAGCCCCTTTCTCCTCCCCCCTCTCTAGCACAGGGTCGAGCTTTGCAGCCCATCCCTGCTCCTTGGTCTTGTGGGAGTGCTCGGGGATGGTGGTCGTGTGGGCAGAGGGGAGAGCGCCTGTTAGGGACAGAGGCGGAGGCTGGGCTGAGGGGGCTGTTTTCCTACAGCTGAGGCAGGAGCAGCCTGGGCCTGTCTGATCTCTGAAGGCCCTGCTGGGCTCAGGGAAAGGCTCCCTGGTTGGCCCCTGCAGAGCCTCTCCCTCCCCAAGCAGCAGCAGCTGCCTTGGCTTCCTGGTGGTGCTTTGCCGGCTGTTGCTGAGGTGTGCGTGTGCTCTGCTTCCTCCCTGCCCTGTGTGCCAGGTGCAGCCCCAGGCTCCAGCCATGTCGTGCCCTGAGAAGTGCCAGCAGTGCCAGCCCTGCAACCCTTGCTGCCAGCCCTGCGGCCCGACCCCGCTGGCCAACAGCTGCAATGAGTGCTGTGTCAGGCAGTGCCAGAGCTCCACCGTCGTCATTGAGCCGCCGGCTGTGCTGGTGACCCTGCCCGGGCCCATCCTCAGCTCCTTCCCACAGAACACCGTGGTGGGATCCTCCCCCTCCGCTGCCGTTGGCAGCATCCTCAGCTCTGACGGAGTGCCCATCAACTCCGGGGGCTTTGACCTCTCCTGCATCACCAGCTGCTACCGTGGCAGATGTCCCCCCTGCTAAAGCCCCTGCAAACCTCCTTGGCCAACAACCTGCAAGACCTCTCATCATGCTGCTGCACTGAAAACACAACGCTGGGACATTGCATTTAGACTTTATGGCTCTTGTTTCCTTCTTCTCCTCTCTTCTCTCTCTTCCCTTCCTTTCCTGTCACCAGCACCCAATGCCACCCTCCTGGGGACCTTTTGGCCTCCCTACCTCTGCAGCCCAGGCAGAGGGACACCCCCCCTGCATCTTTGGGGCTCCTGCTGGTGCCCTCTGTGAGCCACCTCCTTTGCTTCTTTAGATTCAATAAAGTTGTTTTGCATCCAAGCCTGGGACTCTGAGTTCTCGTTCTTTCTTTGGCAACACATCTACTGAGCTCAAGGAAGAAGGTGGAGGAAGGCAGAGGGTTAGGGTTATTGGATTTCCATTTGTGATCTTTCCCTTAGAGCACACAGACCCATCCCTGGCTAACCCACTACAAAGACCACACCAAAAGAGAAGTTGTGTCCAAAATATGGTATGAGTGGGTATAGGTAACTGCAATACCTAAACACAGCCCACAACCTCATCCCTTCCTACACCTCCCTTACATTGACTGTTCTGCCCAGCTTGTGTCCAGACAGGCAGGGTTGGGATGTTTCACGTCAGGATTGGGATCAGCCACACAAAAGAGCTGAGTGGAATCAGCTGTTCTATAGTGCCCTTTGTAGGTGGGTGTACCATGAAGAAAGCTGTGGTGTTGTGAAAAGCCTGCACTAGAAAAGAATCCAGGCAGGAATATCCACTGCTGTGGAGAGAAGCCCACAAAGGAGCAGGTCCTACTGCCAGGACCCGTTACCCTGTCAAGGAGTAACTTTGGAGCATTTTGTTCCTGAAGAACTGCACCCTTTGGAAATGACCCACCCTGTAGCAGGGGACCCACAGTGGAGCAGGGGAGCAGAGTGGCAGGAAGGAGTACAGAGACTTCCAGAATGGGCTGAGCACAACCCCCTTTCCCTCTCCCCCTGTGCCACTGGTGGGAAGAAGGTGTAGAAGTTGGCAGTGAACCTGAAACGAAGCAGAGGGAAGGCTGGGGGCCAATGTGGATTTAGATTTATTGCTGTTTGTCTTTGTCCTAGTCTATGGGTAATTGAAAATAAATTAAATTTGATTCCCCCAGATGAATCATAATTGCTGATTGTTTCCCCTGACTTTACTTTGACCCCTCACCTTGGCATTGTATTTTCTGCCCTCACCCAGCTGAGGATGGGCAGTGATAGAATCTCTTCATGGGCACCAGACCGTTTGCCAAGATCAACCCATCATGACTTTGAAACACCTTGTTTACTTTTTCCCTGAGCAGCCTGAACTCTGCTGGTTGCCTGGGGAAGAGACCCACCCCCACCTGGCTACAACCTCCTTTCAAAGAGTTGTAGAGAGTGAGGAGGTCTCCCCTGAGCCTCCTCTTCTGCAGGCTAAACCCCCCCAGCTCCCTCAGCCTCCCCTCACAGGATATACCCTCTAGGCACTTCACCAGCTCCATTGCCCTTCTCTGGACTCACTCCAGCACCTCAATGTCCTTCCTCAGCTGAGGGGCCCAGAACTGGACACAGCACTCGAGGTGTGACCTCACCAGTGCACAGTAGACAGGCACAGTCACTGCCCTGCTCCTGCTGGACACTATTCCTGATACAGACCAGGATGCCCTCGGCCTTCTTGCCCACCTGAGCACACTGTGGCTCATGTTCAGCCATATCCACCAGCAGCCCCAAGTCCTCTTCCACTGGGCCTCTCTCCAAGTGCTCTGCCCCCAGCCTGTAGAGCTGCAGGGGGTTATTGTGGCCAAAGTGTAGGACCTGACATATGGTCTTGTAGAACATCACCCTGCTGGATCGGACAATGTATCCAGCCTGTCCAGATCCTTCTGCAGAGAGAATGTGCAGCTCCATGAGAGTATAACCGGTCTCACCATCAGGACTTGCTTCATTGTCAGCTTCACTCTGCTGCAGTCGACATTCACTCTGCATTGGACCCAC